CTTTTAAAGATTATTGCATTGAAGGTGATTCCTAACGTACAGGATTTCCCTTTTTGTGTGATGGCAATGTTCTGCGATTAGTGGTGATGGTTGCAGAACATTGTGAATTAAAGAAATAGTAGCTTTAGAAAGACAGTTTTTTAAAACAAAATTAATAATGCATTATACGTTGTATAACATGGAAGTAAAAGGTATGACAATAGCTTAAAAAAATGGAAAGTTATGGGAAGGACATAAGAAACCTTATTAAGGCCATATTTTATTTATTGGTTTATTTATTTATTTATTTGACAGAGTATTGCTTTGTTGCCCAGGCAGGAGTGTGGTGGCACAATCCCTGCTCACTGCAACCTTTGCCTCCTGGGTTCAGCGATTCTGCCTCAGCCTCCCAAGTAGCTAGGATTTCAGGTGTGCACCACCACACCCAGCTAATTTTTGTATTTTTAGTAGAGATGAAGTTTCACCATGTTAGCCAGGCTGGTCTTGAACTCCTGATGTCAGGTGATGCACCTGACCTCAAGTGATCCACCTTCCTCAGCCTCCCAAAGTTCTGGGTTTGTAAGTGTGAGCTACCATGCCTAGCAGAAACCTTAGTAAGCTTCTTAAGCTGTACATGAAGTAGAATCGTCAAATTTACATCTAGAAAATTAAAACAATTTAAGTTCCCGCTTCAAATGTATGGTAGTGCCAATTTAACCTTATCCTTGTCCATGTGTGGTATTTGTTTAAAAACATGGCCACCCAGATGTTTTTAAAAACTTGATTACCCTAGACACCCAATCTTCACTGGGCTTGAAGGATACTTTATCTCTGAAGTCTTTGAAATTCTATCAGAATCTCTTTGCCTTATTAAATTTGGCTAAAATGTTAAATGCATACATTTATTTTTTTTCCTTTCCTCCTCTTCCTACCCCTTTCTTCATAAGCATAGTTTTCTTCAGTAATTTCTTTGGTATTACTTCAGCTTCATTTGTTCTAGAATGTGGACGTTTTGAAGACACATTCCATGTCTCTCTCATTCTCTATTTTATCATGGTTGTAGTATACTAGATGCTCCATGCTCAATAAATTTGTCACTGTTTTCTTTCTATACATAGTATTGGTAAAGTTTATCTGCATATTTCTAACATTTTTTCTTTCATCTTGTTAATCTATTTTGTCCTTTTGATTTGAGTTAGATAATGAATTTACCGATTTTTTTGTTACTAATTTTTGTTTGGTTGTATTTCAACTGCTACTTACTGCTTGTATTGCTGTTTTAAATTTGGCAGATCATGCTTTTCACCTCTGAACATTTTTTCATCTCTGAAATCTTTCCTCAGATTATTCTGATTTCATTTTTACAGATGCAACATTCACCCAAATTCTTTTAAAATATTAAGCTCCTTGCATTTTATCATTTTTTCTTCAACTTATGCCAGATACTGTGAGACTGTCAAGGTTTTAAATCTCTTTTTCACCTCTAGGGCATGTAAACTTTAATATTAGTGAGTTTAAAACCCCTTAGGACTGGGAAATAAAAGAAAATGGAGTACCCATTTCTTCCTTCAATCCAGCCACCTAAAATCCAGCCACCTAAACACACAATTAAAATGTGGTATTGGTGCTTGACACAGTGGCTCACACCTGTCATCACAGTACTTTAGGAGGCTGAGACAGGCGGATGCCATGAGCCCAGAAGTTTGAGACCAGCCTGGGCAACATAGTGAAACCCCATCTCTACAAAAAATTAGCCATACACATGATGGTTTGTGCCTGTGGCCCCAACACTTGGGAGGCTGAGGTTGGAGGACTGCTTGAGCTCAGGAGGATGAGGTTGCAGTGAGCTGTAACTGTACTCCAGCCTGGGTGACAGAGCAAGACCCCATCTCAAAAAAAAGGATCATGAAATTTTTATTAGTATAAAGTTAGGTCTAAGAGTTTTATTCGCAAAGATTACCATGTGGGAGTAATCTCTAGACATTTTTGACTTCCTGGCCTATTTTGTAAGACCCCCCCCAAAGGTGGAGAACTCGATCAGGAAAACAAGCAGAGCTTGAATACACACTGCCATTTTTGAGAGGACCACAAATTCATAACTTGAAAGAATTGGAGTTACTTCTTTCCTTAATTACACTTTGGAGTTTTGCCCTTGGGAGCGAGATAATGATTGTGAGTTCCTCTTCCCTGAGAGTCCAGTGTAATGCTGGACAGACACGGTAATAAGCACAGTCAGTGCGACAGAAATTGGTGGTTTGAAGGTAAAGTGAAGAGACTCATAATTCATGGTTGTTTTCCACTGAGGGGTCAGCATGGGTTTATGCAGAATGGAGGACATTTGAGATTTCATTTTGCGGTAATAGGTGACTGTAACCTGTGAAGGGTAAAAAAAAATTACAAAGCAACGCTTATGCTCAGGTTGGAAACGTTGCATTTGTACTGCTGCTAATTCTGTTTTTTTTCCTAGTAGTATTTCCTTCCCCTATAGAAGGGTGGAAAATGAAGCTAGTGTATTTACTCAAAAAAGGTGATTTGAAGGAAAAAGGGACTGAGCAAAGTAGTGCTTTATAATCTGCCCCAGTTTTCAAGACAAGACTATGCTAGAGACTCATTACTTTTCACATTATAATGTAAAATTAATCATTAAAACCTTAGTTAAAAATGAAGGTTTTTGCCAGGCGCGGTGGCTTATTTCTGGAATCCAAGCACTTTGGGTGACTGAGGCGGGTGGATCACTTGAGGTCCGGAGTTCAAGACCAGCCTGGTTACCCACAGGGTGAAACACCATCTCTACTAAAAATTAGCCCAGTGTCTTGGCTCATGCTTGTAATCCTAGCTATTTTTGAGGCCAAGGCGGGAGGATGACTTGAACCCAGGAGGCGGAGGTTGCAATGAACCGACATCATGCCACTGCCCTTGAGCCTGGGAGACAGAGCAGGACTTCGTCTCAAAAACAGACAGACAAACCAAACATACATGGTATGTTTCAGCTCGTTGCACTTACTCTCCTTGTCAGAGCTCACACTGTCCCGTTTTTAGCCTGCAGGGCCACTTTTGCTTGGCTCTTGAGCCTTGTCACAGTGCGGTTTATGCTTAGTTTCCTTGTTGTCCAGTGTGATAAGATGTTCGTGGCTTATCTTGCGTATTTCCTGCCCAGCCACTTTTCCAAGATGAATGTGGACATTTAAAACAAAAAGTTTCAGTGCCCCAGTCGCACCCCAAACCAGCTTAATCAGAATCCCTGGTGGGGATAGGGCCCAGATACCGAGTCCCTAGGCTGCAGTGCAGTGGTAGGATCTCAGCTCACTGCAACCTCTGCCTCCTGGGTTCAAGTGGTTCTCCTGCCTCAGCCTCCTGAGTAGCTGGGACTACAGTCGTGAGCCACCACTCTCAGCTAATTTTTGTATTTTTAGTAGAAATGGGGTTTTGTCATATTGGCCAGGCTGGTCTCCAACTCCTGACCTCAAGTGATCTGCCCTCCTAGGCCTCCCAAAGTGCTGGTGTTACAGGTGTGAACCACCACACCCCACCACGATACAGTGTTTTTTAAGAAGCACACCTAGCCTTGGATGGAAAACCGCTTGAGGAGAGTATGCTGCCTTATCGGGCTCTGTAAACGCCTTATCTCTGCACAAGGCTGGAACTTTGAGTGGAGTCCTTGGCTAAAGGTTTGATTGCTACATGGTGACCTTTCTTCCCTCTCCTGCTTAAAGCTTGTTTCAGAATGTTGACCGGAATGCATCTGTGTTGAAAGCCAGGCTTGGTCTGTCATCCCAGGACTCCGTATCGGTCCCTTTCCTTGCCTGTATGTTGAGTTGGAGCTCATCTTCGTGCCTCTGGGAAATAAGCTGATAGCTTGCTTAGAGTCTCTCAGTACTTTCCCTTGCCATTAGAATGAACACGAAAATCTGCGGCCTGCAGTGTAGACTGTGTACAGCCTTCAGTGTAGACTGCTCAGGCCCCTTTTGGTTCCTGGAGTCTGCCATGCTTACCTCTACCACCAGGCCTCTGCACAGCTGCTGTCTGCTGGGAGGGCCTTGCCTTTCCCCATTACTTAGTTCTCCTCTACTCATCTTTCAGGTGCCGGCTTGACTGTCTTCCTCCGGGGGGCCTCCTCTGACCTTGGTACACCAGATCAGCCCCCCTGTGCTGACCTTGTCTCATTGGTAATAGTTCTCTACCTTTAGGACACATAGCAAGGCCCAGAAGTCACAGTTTTGCATTTGTTCATGTGATCATTTGATGCATGTCTCTCTCTGGAGCCTGACTCTTTGGGGCTTACCTCCTGTCTCCACCACTTTTAGCTGTGGGACCTTGAACAAATCATTTCATCTCTGGTCCCCAGTTTCTTTTAACTGCAAATCAGGGATGATATTATACTTTCACCTACCTTGTGAGGTGGGGATGAAGATTAAATAGGGTAATTTGTGTAAAGCACTTAGAGATACTTATTAATAGTAGAGAATCTTGGCAGGTATTACTGATGATTACTGCAGTGAACCACAAGTTTCATACAGGCAGGGGTCATTTCTGTTTGTTTAGATTTGTATGCAGGGTGCCTGGCATATGGATGGTGCTCAGGAAATATTTGTTGGATGAATGAAGGAAGTGGAGATAATAGTAATATGTTTATAGAATTCCATGAGGATATAAAATAATGCAAGTATATAAGTTCTGGGTAGCATGTCTAGCTCATAGTAAGTGGCCAATAAATGTTCAGTGCCTGAATAAGGAAAATGGTGACAATAGTAATACCAGCTTATGAGGTTGTCGTGGGGATCTAAGGTACCCTGTAGTACCTTGTAGAGTGCCTAGCACATAGTAGAGGCTCAGAAAATATTTGTTAAATGAATGAGTGAAGTGGGGATGATAACACCAGCTCCTAGGGTTGCTGCAGGGATAGAAGATAAGGCAGGTCGATAGCTTGTTGTGGTTGTGCCTGGTAGACACTCTGTTGAGTGAAACGACAGGAGCTGCTATGAGTTTCTTTCTCCTGGGGTTTAGGAGAGAATCCTATTGGGGTGTAGATTGGTGTGGAGCGGATACTGGTCCTCTTGAAGGATGAATGGGCAGCTGACCGCTCCTTGCCAAGCTTTGGCCTGGATGTAAAGTTGAACCGTTCCTTTTCCTCTTCCTCCCTAACCTGTTCTTTGTTTCCACTAGAATCCTTGTTGAGTCCAGCGCCTCCTTCCTGTCCAGGATCACCTTCTGGTGGATCACAGGGTAAGGCTGGGTCTCTGAGACCTTAGGGAGGTGGTGGGGAATGAATGAATCAATGAATGAACACGCTGAGCTCCCCGCTTGACTTCTCTCTCCTTGGCTCTTCTGCAGAGTTGTCTTGAATCTGCCTGTGCTGGCCATGTGGTCTCAGAGAAACCAACTCTGTCCCCCAAGTCTATCACCTTGAATGTGATGAACACATGAGCCATGAGCAGCTTAAATCTCTGCAGAAGGCTTGGTCTGGGACAGCCATACACTGGACTGCTCTTGCTTTAGCTTCAGATTTGGGATTTTATTTTTATATATTTTATTTCTTGCCTAGACATCATGTTCAACCTGACAGATTTGTGCTTTTTAAATATTTGGTATAGTTATTATTGACATTATTCCCCTCCTTAGAAAAATAATATATTTATTTTATTTTATTTTATTTTTTTGAAATGGAGTTTCGCTTGTTACCCAGGCTGGAGTACAGTGGCGCAATCTCGGCTCACCACAACCTCCGCCTCCTGGATTCAGGCAATTCTTCTGCCTCAGCCTCCTGAGTAGCTGGGATTACAGGCACGTGCCACCATGCCCGGCTAATATATTTTATTTCTTGCCTAGACATCATGTTCAACCTGACAGATTTGGGTTTTTTAAATATTCAGTATAGTTGTTATTGACATTGTTCTCTTCCCATCCCCTACTCCTTAGAAAAATACTGTCTCATCATAGGAAAAGTGGCTTAAAAAAACACATGTGCAGATCAGTAGTAAGGAAACATGCAGAAGCAACCATTGTCACCATTTTAGTATGTCTGCTTCTGGTCTTCTTTTCTTTTTGAGATGGAGTCTCACTCTGTCTCCCAGGCTGGAGTGCAGTGGTGCGATCTCAGCTCACTACAACCTCTGCCTCCTGGGTTCAAGTGATTCTCCTGCTTTGGTCTCCCAGGTAGCTAGGATTACAGGCATGCACCATCACTGCTGGCTAATTTTTGTATTTGTAGTAGAGATAGGGTTTTGCCATGTTGGCCAGGCTGGTCTTGAACCCCTGACCTCAGACCCATATTGGCCTCTGAAAGTGCTGGGATTACAGGTGTGAGTCACCGTGCCCAGCCACCTTTTGGTTTTCTTTTTGTACATCTTTTTCTGCCTATCGTCAACATCTTATTGGGGATTATTTGAAGAATCTTTCTTTCACCCTAATATGCATCATCTTTTTGTTTTTTGGAGACAGGCTTTTGCTCTGTCGCTGAGGCTGGAGTGCAGTGGGCACAATCATAGCTCACTGCAGTCTTGATCTACCGGGTTCAGGTGTTGCTCCTGTCTCAGCCTCCTGAGTAGCTGGGACTATAGGCCTGCTCCACTATGCCCAACAGATTTTTGTATTTTTTGCAGAGATGGGGTTTCACCGTGTTGCCCAGACTGGTCTCCAACTCCTGAGTGCAAGTGATTCTTCCACCTCAGCCTCCCAGAGTGCTGGGATTATAGGAATGAGCCACCATGCCTGGTCTCATTCTTCTCTTTATGAACTTTTTACAAACATCTTTTAAAAAGATTAGATGTTTAAAATTTCTTCAAATTACTATTAAAAAGCATCACTGGGACAGTTGATGTGATTTGTAAAGGACTGCAGGACACCAGATGCATGCTAATAACATTCATTCTTGTTTTGGAAAATTGTGCTCCAGTTTCATAAGAGCATGTCCTTGATTGTAAGGGATTACCCCTGGTATTTTGGAAGTAAAGATATGTAGAGCCTACATCTTAACTTTTTTTTTTTTTTTTTTGAGACAGTCTTGCTCTGTTGTCCTGGCTGGAGTGCAGTGGCGTGATCTGCAGCCTCTGCCTCCTGGGTTTAAGCAATTCTGTTGTCTCAACTTCCTGAGTAGCTGGGATTATAGGCATGCACCACGATGCCTGGCTAATTTTTGTATTTTTAGTAGAGATGGGTTTTCACCATGTTGGCTAGACTGGTCTCAAACTCCTGACCTCAGGTGATCCACCCACCTCAACCTCCCAAGGTACTGGGATTATAGGTGTAAGCCACTGTGCTAGGCCTTTAACTGTTTGAGTGGTTTAGAAAAAGATGGTGTGTGTGTATGTGTGTGTGTGTGTGTGAATGGATAGACAGAATGTTACTGTAAACTTGTCAACATGTTAATAGTGGTGAGTTGAGTGAATATTTAGCATGATTTGAGTATTTTTTCTGTAAGTTTGAAATTATTTTGAAACAAAATATGAAAGTATTTTAACTTTTTATTATAAAAGTGTTCAGTTGGCCGAGTGTGGTGACTCACACCTTTAATGTTACCACTTTGGGAGGCCGAGGTGGGTGGATTACCTGAGGTCAGGAGTTTGAGACCAGCCTGGGCAACACGGTGAAACCCTGTCTCTACTAAAATACCAAAAATTAGCCAGGTGTGGAGGTATGTGCCTGCAGTCCCAGACTTGGGACGCTGAGGCAGGACAATCCTTCGAACCCGGGAGGCAGAGTTTGCAGTGAGCCAAGAAAACGCTACTGCACTTTAACCTGGGTGACACAGTCACACCCTATCTCAAAAATAAATAAATAAATAATGATTTATAAAAAATAATGAATTAGAACCATCTTGATATTTTCCTCCTAAATCATCTTTTTTCCCTAAATCTTTTGTATGCACCCCCCCCAAAAGAAAGCCATTTTTCCTTTATGACCCAACAGAATGAGCTGTAATAGACTTGTAATATGTACAAATGTCTATCCACGTTCAGACATCCCCAGCTGCGTGGCTGCCTTCATTTGCAGCGGGCACTTGTGCTGGGGAGAGGGGCACAGCATTGGCATGCGTGTGGAGTGAGTGAGCCTCGTTCTCCTCCCCCCTCTCATTGACGCTCATTGCCTAACCCTCTTGTGTCTTGGCCTCAGGTTGATATCCCAGGCTACCACCAGCCCCTGGAGAGCAGTGGCCCCTGCTCCTTAAACAAGGAGGACACGCAGGAACAAGTCATGCCTGTTTCAGCAAAGAACTGGAAGAAGAAATGCGCCCAGTCTAGGAAGTAAGTGTGAGTTTCCTTATCCTCTAGGATGCCCCGGTTCCCTCCTTCCCGCCCTGTGGCCTGAATCCATGCTGTGTCCTTGGCAATGCTGCTTGTTACTAGTTTTCTGGTTCTCACTTCTCCTCTGGGCCTCAGTTTGTTTTTCTGCCAAATGGGGTAAAATCTCTTAATTCATTAAGGCAACTGAGTAGAAAAGAAGAGAGAAGCTGGGCATGGTGCCTCACGCCTGTAATCTTAGCACTTTGGGAGGCCAAGGCAGGTGAATCACAAGTTCAGGAGTTTGAGAACAGCCTGGCTAACATGGTGAAACCCCATCTCGACTAAAAATACAAAAATTAGCTGGGTGTGGTGGTACTTGCCTGTAATCCCAGCCAAGTGGGAAGCTGAGGCAGGAGAATTGCTTGAACGTGGGAACAAAAGGTGACAGTGAGCCTAGTTCGCACCACTGCACTCCAGCCTGGGGGGCAGAGTGAGACTCCATCTCCAAAAGGCAGATGTTAGTGATCTCCCTACTTCTACCACCTTTGGTTTTGAAAACCCAGTGCTTCATTGGTTTGTATGTAATAGTTTTATGTTCTCTTTTTTGTGTATGGCCTCTTAGACCTTCGGGCCATTTTGGATTGTGGTTTCTGCTGGCCTGAATATCAAATGCTTTTGTGACTCTGGAAGAGTTTGGAAGTTTTTGTTTTTGTTTTTAAGTTAGACATAGTGACCATACAGCCATCCACTCACTTCCCAGACATCCAGCCAAGAGAGCTGAGAACATATGTTTATAAAAGACTGGTACAGGAATGTTCTTTTTTTTTTTTTTTGAGACGGAGTTTCGCTCTTGTTACCCAGGCAGGAATGTTCTTAGATACTTTGTGATAACCCGAACTGGAGGTAAGCCAGACAGCTATTAGCAAGTGAACAAACAGATTTACCCATTACGTGCATCTGCACAACTGAATACTAAGTTATGTACAAGAAACGAACTATTGGCTGGGCACAGTAGTTCATGCTTGTAATCTCAGAACTTTGGAAGGCCGAGGTAGGTGGATCGCCTGAAGTCAGGAGATTAAGACCGGCCTGGCTAAGATGGTGAAACCCCATCTCTACTAAAAATACAAAAATTAGCCAGGTATGGTGGTACACCCTTGTAATTCCAGCTACTTGGGAGGCTGAGGAATCACTTGAACCCAGGAGGCGGAGGTTGCAGTGAGCCGAGATGGCATCACTGCACTTCAGCCTGGGTGACAGAGCGACACTGTCTCAATTAAGGATGGGCGTAGTGGCTTATGCCTGTAATCCTAGCACTTTGGGAGGCTGAGGTGAGTGGATCACCTGAGCTCAGGAGTTCAAGACCAGCCTGGGCAACATGGTGAAACCCCTGTCTCTACTAACAATACAAAAAATTAGCTGAGCATGGGAGCTTGCATCTGTAGTCGCAGCTACTTGGGAGACTGAGGCAGGAGAATCAGTTGAACCCGGGAGGCAGAGGCTGCAGTGAAGGGAGATCATGCCACTGTACTCCAGCCTGGGTGACAGAGTGAGAATTCGTCTATAAAAAAAAAGGCTGGGTACGGTGGCTCACACCTATAATCCCGACACTGATAATTTGGGAAGCTGAGGCAGGTGGATCACCTTAGGTTGGGAGTTCAAGACCAGCCTGACCAACATGGAGAAACCCCATCTCTACTAAAAATACAAAAAAAAATTTTGAGAAAAAAAGAGACTTCATCAAGGCACGCTGGTAAAGTCAAGGGACTAGGGTGTAAAAAGAATGTGATGTACAAGGCAGAATGCAGGGGCACTGGAGCTAGAAATGATCTTAGGGAACGCAGAGTCACAGAAGAGCAACAAGATGCCATTTCTCACTCAACTCCAATCCACCAGCAGCAGTCACCTGGAGGGCTGCTTGAATGTAACTCAGTGGGAAAGAATGTCATGGGTGACTATGGGTGTCTGCTGTGCACATGAGAAGTAAGGGAGGGGCCCAATATTTGACATGTTGGAGATCTAACCCGTTCATTTTCCATATGACAAAATCTACAGCCAAGGAGGTAAGCTAACCGGCTTCGGGGTCACACTGTGAACTGGCAGTAGAATGTGACAGGTGACCTGACTCTCAGAATAACATTTCTCTAAGCCAAGGGCTGGCCAAAAATGGACTCCATGTATGGCTCATGAGCTCAAAACGGATTTCATTTTTTACATTTTTTGAGACAAAGTCTTGCTCTCTTGCCCAGGCTGGAGTGCAGTGGTATGACCTTGGCTCAACACACTAAAAATACAAAAATTAGCCAGGTATGGTTGGTGCTAACCTCCACCTCCCAGGTTAAAATGATTCCCGTGCCTCAGCCTCCCAAGAAGCTAGGATGACCACCATGCTCCACCACGCCTGGCTAATTTGTTTTGTCGGGGACAGTGTCTCACTCTTTTGCCTAGTCAGGAGTGCAGTGACATGATCTTGGCTCGCTGCAACCTCCGCCTTTTGGGTTCAAGTGATCCTCCTGCCTCAGCCTTCTGAGTAGCTGTGACCACAGGTATGCACCACCACGCCCAACTAATTTTTTTGTTTTTAGTACAGACCGGGTTTCACCATGTTAGCTAGGCTGGCCTCAAACTCCTAGCCTGAAGCAACCTGCCCATCTCAGCCTCTCAAAGTGCTGAGATTACAGGAATGAGCCACAGCGCCCCGCTAGATTTCTTACTTTTAACAGTGAAAAAATCAAAACAGTATTACATGACAGATGTAAACTCTGTAAAATTTAAATTTTAGTTTTTGTAAATACATTTTTACAGGAACACAGTCATACCCATCGATTTCCGTTTCATCTAAGGCTGCTTTTCCACTATGCTGGAAGAGACAGTTATTTGTTACAAAGACCGTATGGCCTGGAATGCTGAAACTTTCCAGAAAAAGTTTCTTTATTCCCACTTCCTTCCAGTGTCTCTTCAATTTTAATGTCCATACAGACCACCTAGAGGACTAGTTACAATTCAGATTGTTTCAGTTGATCGGGGTTGAGGCCTAAAATTCTACACTGTTAATAAGCACCAGGTGTTGTCATGGCTGCTGGTCCACAGACCACACTTTGAGTAGTGAGGATCAACTCCAGTGTGTCTCTACATGTTGACCTGAACCAGAAGCAGCAGCACCTGGGGATGTGTTAGGAATGCAGATACTCAGGCCCCACCCAGACCTACTAAACTGAAAATCTGAGTTTAGAGTAGAAAGCTGCATTTTATGCTAACAAGCTGTTGGCCAACACAGTGGCTCACGCCTGTAATCCCAGCACTTTGGGATGCCAAGGCAAGTGGATCACCTGAGGTCAGGAGTTTGAGACCAGCCTGGCCAATATGATAAAACACCATCTCTACTAAAAATATTTTTTAAGTTAGCCAGGTGTGATGTTGTACACCTGTAATCCAAGCTACCGAAAGTCTAAGGTGGAAGAATCGCTTAAACCCAGGAGACAGAGGATGCAGTTACCCAAGATCACGCCACGGCACTCCAGCCTGGGAGACAGAGTGAGACTCTGTCTCAATCAATCAACCAAATATATTAAGCTAGCCAGGTGATTCTGATGCAGGCTTGAATTTGGACACAATCTCTCCTGCAAGTCCAGACTCTGAGAGATTTAAGGTAAGAGGAAGAAAATTCAGTGTCAGCATGAACACGCTTTCACAAATGCTCAAAAGGCTAGAACTTCCTTAAACATTCCACCTGCTGAATTGTGCACATTTTATTCTCAAATTTGAAGGCTTTCATCTCTGAAGCCCATATTACAAAGAAATGTACTTTATTTTACAGTTCATAGTAAAATATTTAAGATAGAGCTTCTATAGATAGAGCTTCTGTAGATATGATGACTAAGCCAGTTGAAGAAATGTGAGCTGGGCGCGGTGGCTCAAGCCTGTAATCCCAGCACTTTGGGAGGCCGAGGCGGGTGGATAACAAGGTCAAGGGATCGAGACCATCCTGGTCAACATGGTGAAACCCCGTGTCTACTAAAAATACAAAAAATTAGCTGGGCATGGTGGTGTGTGCCTGTAATCCCAGCTACTCAGGAGGCTGAGGCAGGAGAATTGCCTGAACCCAGGAGGCGGAGGTTGCGGTGAGCCGAGATCGCGCCATTGCACTCCAGCTTGGGTAACAAGAGCGAAAACTCCCTCTCAAAAGAAATGTGAATGATTAATATGTTAACTAGAATTGCAAAATGTAATAAAATTAATTGATAAAAAAAAAGAAAACATTCCACCTGCAACTCAGCTAACATGAAACAGGTGGTAGTTTAACAGATAAGTTTCATATGTATAAAAATGTTCAACTCTGCTTCACAGAAACTTGCCAGAAAAATTTGTCAACTTGACCAAGAAGGAATAGTTGTAATTAGCACAACATTACAAGGGCATCCTTGTCTTGTGCTGGTTTTCAAAGGTAATGCTTCCAGTTTTTGCCCATACAGTATGTTACTGTCTGTGGCTTTGCCCTCTCTCACTCCTCCTTTCAATACTCAACGTAGTATTGAAAGTTCTGGTCACAGCAATCAGGCAAGAAAAAGAAATAAAGCATATTCAACTAGGAAAAGAGGAAATCAAATGGTCTCTTTGTAGATGACATGAGTGTATATTTAGAAGACTCTATCTTCTCAGCCCAAAATCTCCCTAAGCTGATAAGCAAATTCAGCAAAGTCTAAGAATTCACGATCAATGTGCAAAAGTCACAAGCATTCCTATATACCAATAACAGCCAGCCAAATCATGAGTGAACTCCCATTCACAATAGTTATAAAGAGAGTAAATATCTAGGAATACATCTAACAAGGGATGAGAGGATCTCGTGAAGGAGAACTACAAACCATTGCTCAAGGAAATAAGAGAGGACACAAACAGATGCGTGCTCATGGTTAGGAAGAATCGATTTTGTGAAAATGTCCTTACTGCCCAAAATAACTTATACATTCAATGCTACCCATCAAGCTACCACTGACTTTCTTCACAAAATTGGAAAAAAC